ACATTTATTAATATCGTTATTGTATCTTTATGTAGTATTAATTTATTAAGAAGGTTACATTTATGTTTTACTTTAAAGTATAAAATACAATTTATTTACTTTTCCTTTTTAAAGTCTGTAATACCGAATGTTCTTTTAAGAGAAAACATTTTTTTATTATTTTTCACCTAAAATAAGCTCTATGCACTATTATATAGGGCCCCTGAAAATATGAATGCAAAAGAAAATCTCTAACATAGAAATTTTTTTACTCGAAGTGCTCGGCGTTTACTACTTCAAATTATTCGTTCTTCTGAAAGCACATTCGGCGATACTTAGAAGTCGACACAATTTACTCTTCGGTCTTACGAGGTTAAAACACCACCCATTTTCCGGCGTTTCCAGTTGACGAAGAATTTTTCTAAAATTTTTCTGTGGACACTTGATCTCTATTTAGAAACATACTAAAAATTTATGAAAAATGACAAGTATAAAAAGTTTCAGGAGTATCTGGGTTAAGAGTAGGCGCACACCGTTGATTTTTTATCGGCCGATAGTTTAGTCGGGCAGTTGATCAGTATGGGCATGTATGGGAGTGCGCACACTACGCCGATTCAATTTGGCCGATTCTTCATACAAATTAAAATCGGGCACAACTATCGGCCAACTAAAAATCAACGGTCTCTGCAACTCTAATGCAGTAACAATAGAGACAAATCATGATGACAAAGGCTTATTACAATTAGAGATAATTAATAGACTATACACGATATAAGTCGAAGGCTGAAAGATCTAGAATTACAATAAAATAGTTGTCTCTCTTTTATAAAGAGGTAATTACAATAAGACCACTATATTTTTCAATAATTATCTGTAAACAGCAGCAGTTAAATGACATGTATATCTTTGCATAGAAAACATGATATCATTTTAGTCAGAATTACAACATTGATCATATTGTTATCTTTTTATACAGTGTGAGTCACGTTAAAGTGTACATATGAAAATAGATGAAACTAGACCTATTTTTATCGACAAAAAAAGTGGTCAAAATTTTTTTGAGATTTTTTTTTATTTTTTATAGAATTTTTTTTCTTCCAATTACTTATTGTAAAGAAAACGTAATAACTATTAAACTAAGCAGTATATCCTGATAAAATAAAAACAGTAATAATGCTAAATAACAAGTGATACTAAAAAAATACATACAATACACAAAAAATGCCAACAAATAATAAAAAATGATACTTTTTGAAAAAAATCTGCTTAAAAATTCGTGTTATTTTGGTTATTTGATAAATTTCTCCGAAAAATGCCCCTATAACAGGTGGTTTTTATTGTTTTGTATTATTCTCCATTGTATTAACTTTGTAAAACCAAAAATTGCATGTCTCTATCCCTATCACAACATTTGCTATGATCGTTTGAACTAAGCCTCTCCGGGCGCTCCATTCAACGCTTCGTTAACAACGAAACTGAAAATGGCTCTAGATTTGTAATTTTGATAAAGACAAGTTAGATTTCAAGTAAAAACAAAAGATTTCGAAGTAAAATAAGCATTTTAGTTAAAATTAAAATTGTCCCTACCTGTAGAGGAGAATAATGTTGTGGTAGGCCTTTGTTCAAACTATCATAGCAAATGTTGTGATAGGCATAGAGACATGCAATTTTTGGTTTTACAAAGGTAATACGATAGAGAATAATACACAACAATAAAAACTACCTGTTATAGGGGCATTTTTTGGAGAAATTTATCAAATAACCAAAAAAACACGAATTTTTAAGCAGATTTTTTTCAAAAAGTATCATTTTTATTACTTTTTGGCATTTTTTGTGTATTGTATGTGTTTTTTTAGTATCGCCTGTTATTTAGCATTATTACTGTTTTTATTTTATCAGGATATACCGCTTAGTTTAAAAGTTATTACGTTTTCTTTACAATAAGTAATTGGAAGAAAAAAAATTCTATAAAAAATTAAAAAAAAATCTCAAAAATTTTTTGACTTCTTTTTTGTCGATAAAAATAGGTCTAGTTTCATCTATTTTCATATGTACACTTTAACGTGACTCACACTGTATAACAAAAGGTAGGTGTTTTACGTAAAATGTACTTACAACGTATTTAAACAAATAACAACTTCGGCGTTCTTAATCTAGATGTTATCATCAACTCAATACCAAAGTCAATATTGCAAGAATCCTAACGGCTTTAAAGGCGAAAATAAGCCGTAAACACTCGACTTAACACAGTAAATAGTACGTGATAAACCCGAAAGGAAACAAACAGACACACATAATTCTAGTGTTAATCCAACTCGCTTCAAAGTTCATCTGCACACTCCGTTTTGCAGCAGACAGTGTTATAAACTTTGATAGCTTCGCTCGCACGCAGCGCAAATGCCCGAAGTTGGCCGTCGACGCAATCTCGGCACATGCCGCGTGACCGTCGCGATGGAATCCTTCAGCCGGCTCTGGAATTGGCTTTGTTTGGGCCATGCAATTTGCTGTGGTTGATTGCTACTTCTATTGTTATTATTACTACGTTTTGATTTAGATGTGTTTTTCTAATGTTTTATTTTACTTCCAACAATGGCTTACCCAAATATGAAATATCAAAAGACAAATCAAAGCTATAGATTCTTGATGATCACATACACGTGGTGATCTAAATGACCACGGACACACAATTCCAACTCGCTCTGAAGTTCAATAAAATTCACTATACACTTTGATAGCTTCGCTCGCACGCAGCGCTCAATGCTCCAAGTTGGCCGTCGACGCAATCTCGGCACATGCCGCGTTACCGTCGCGATGGAATCCTTCAGCCGGCTCTGGAATTGGCTTTGTTTGGGCCACGCAATTTGCTGTGGTTGATTGCTACTTCTATTTGTTATTATTACTACGTTTTGATCTAGATATTGTGTTTTTCTAATGTTTTATTTTACTTCGTTTTGGTTAACTCGGACACACTAGTAGAGTATTAGTAGTCGAGTAGCATACAGCAGTGGTGTTTAGCTACTGAATATAACAATAAAAATACACTTTTTAGACACCCTGCAGTTTTCTGATTATTATCTTCTCCTTTCTGATTCGATCACTTTAAACTCCGAACATGGCACACTCCATCGCTTTTGGGGTGACCTTGCGCCTTTTTATGAGGCCCATAGTAAGCAACCACGTCTCAGATCTGTATGTCATCACTGGCAAAACACACTCGCTAAAGACTACCTTGATTGCTATTAAGTGGGTTAGTATTGCGTCATAATAACAAAACCTATGTCTTTACCATCATCAAACCTATATTTAAATATTGCGTGTGGGTAATTATGACCACATACGTCAATAAATTGTCAAGTATTCATCTCAGTTACACGTCAGAGGTCAAAAAATATTCGAGTCATGCTGACTCAGCACATCACTACGAGGCCCACTTCAATCCAATCTCGAGTGCAATGGCGGTCAAACTGTTTGCAGGACACGTTTTTATTACAACTTCTGTTTGTATTGTTGATATCTTTATGAAAATCTTAATTGTGACATAACCAAAAAAAAAATTATTAGAATACTGCCCTAGTTAAAATAACATAGAAAACTATTTTTACAGTTCGGACACATTTACACTTTTTGGATTTGCTTAAAAAAATATGGAGATTGAAACAATTAAAACAAATGAAAAAAAGTAAAATGTTTTATTAGTTACGTCATGTAATTACTTAGCGTTCGTTGTTAAGGATGCGTATTACTTGAAATTAACAGCAGAATGAATAAAAGTACCAAGCGTTTTTAGACCCTCTGCATTATGTTTAACAGCATAAGGTTGCTTTTCCATTTCTTTTAGCCAAGCTGATAGTTTGGAGTACCTGAAAAATAAAGGCCAATATAAGAAAAACTGTCAGGATCGATGTACTTAAGACTTGAATACTTATAGTATTCTGTACTTTATATCACTTTACAATCTTCACATGTATTCCAAATATCTTTGCTAAAGAAATAAAGCCCGTATTCACAAACGATGCTTGCGTGAAGCAGCAAATCGAACGCACAGCGTTAAATCTATTTACGTGCGCGCCGTACCGGCGCCGCCGCGCCGCGCCGACTTCGGAACGCGCCGCCGCCGCCGAGACATTCTCTTGGCGCGCCGAAGATGGCCGAAGCGCGACAAATTAATCGAATTCAGCCGAGCTGGACCGAGCGTTCACGAACGTGTGACTGGCAGGGAAGAGCGGGGCCTGGGGAGAGTAAAGACGCGAACTTTTTCTCACCGTGTTGTCATTCGGTCGCCCGTCGCCCGCGCTATTTTATCCTTGAATTGCTTTAACGGAGGTTATAGTGCACATTTACGATGGCTTCAGCTTTAGCTACATTTAAGTAATAAAGCAAAAGTGAAACACTTCTCGATGTCAGCTCAGCCAATGATTCATTATTGGCAAAGTTGTCACGTAAGCATAGTGACAACATATGCAGCACCGCATCCAAGTCTAATATGATGAATATTGAATGTAATGAAGCTGACCAAGAGTGCTGGAGATACTTGACAGCTGCTACTCCAAACGATGTCATGAATGAAGACATTTTACAGTATTGGAGGAAGAAAAAAGAAGCCTTTCCCCTTTTAAGCAAACTTGCAAGGCCTATGCTAGCAATTCCAGCCACCAGCACACCTAGCGAACGAGTGTTTTCCATTGCAGGACTTACTGTTACTGCAAAAAGATCACGACTGAATCCAGGACGCGTGAATAAAATTATTTTTATTCATAATAGCTGACCCCGCGAACTCTGTTCCGCCTTAAAGGCAATAAATAAGCCATCACAATTTTGCCTTATTTGCTCACTGTTTAGACCTACCCTGGACTACGACAAACATTTTAAAACCAAAATCAGCTCAATCGGCCCAGCCGTTCTCGAGTTTTAATCAGACTAACGAACAGCAATTCATTTTTATTTATATAGATAGATAATTACGAGTCATGTAAAGAACACACACAGTAGTTAGTAAGTGCCTAATAAAAGTTTTCATTTGGTCTTACGCAATTATTTTTCTTTAATTTAGTAACTCAAAATACTCAAATAAGTAGCTACTGCTGGAAAGGTGCTAGAATTTATTTTTATAAAAAAAAATACCCACGCCGGCGCGGCGCCACCACGCCGACCCCGACAGGTCGGCGCGCCGTCGCTGGATAACAGTAGCGCGGCGTGCACGTCTAAATAGACTCTGTGATTGGTTGGTGTGTCACCCTGTGCGTCCACGCGCACTTTGAGACCTCATAGTACCTAATGTTTGTGAATACGGGCGTAAGAATAGGTAAGTATACTCACTTAGCGTTTAAAGGAAGTATGTAATCAAACACAGAAACTGTAGCGTAAGCGGCCACATCGGCAATAGTTATGTGGTCCAAAGCTATATACTTCTGTCGGGACAATATTTCTTCCAAGAATTCATAGCACTCTTCCAAATCCTTAAGCTGCTGCTCCGTCACTCCTTTTTGACCGAGCACAAAAGCTGGGTACTGAAAAAATATTTTACAATTAAAATTTAAGACATAATATTAGATTTAAAAATTAGTAAAGGTTGTTTATAATATTGGTATACAGTCATTGGTAAAAAAAAATTGAAAACTCCAGCAAAATTCCTATACTGTAGTAGGCCTAGGATGCACGTCACGATAAACTTTTCAAGGCATTTTACCCACTGAAAGCGATAAGCCCATATATTTGCCGTCTAAAATCATCGATAACATTTTATCACGGCGCGCATTTTATCCCGTCCAGGTATATCCACATCAACCTAAACACTGTAGCATCTTATGTAGTTGTCATAAAATATATGCATCAAAATATAGTCTGATAAGCTACAACAAATCGACTTACCGTAATGTTGCGCATCCTTGTAAACAAAACACCATCATTGAAGAACAGTTTTTGGTTGATGAGTGCTCTTTGCTTGACATCTTTTGGATAAAAAGAAGAATCCTTGCCATATACTTCTGCCAGGTAGATCAATATGGCGTGGCTGAAATTAAAGAAAACTTTTAAAGTCGAACCAAGCAAGTAACCTGTTTAAAGGTTTCAGATGTCTGTTAAAGTTGTTTGATTACACCGGTATTCTTTCAGACATCTTTATGCGAGACGATAGCTGTTCTTAATAAAGTTTCTAATGCTCTACATTCTACATCTAAGAATAAAGGCTACAGGTTGCCTGTTACTTATGTAGGTACCTGATGACTCCATCCAGAATTCAGAACGGTAAAAATAAAGTAGTAGTAATTTATCAACCGACGGCTAAGATGCGCACCGTAATATACTTTATCGACGTCAAAATGTATAAGCAAAATCGATAAAATGGCGTGATAACCGCTTATCGCGGCGCGCATCCTAGGCCTACTGGCAAAGGTCGCGGAAAGAGCCTGGATGCGGGCAGCGCAGGACCGTTCATTGTGGAAAACCTCGGGGGAAGCTTTCGTCCAGCAGTGGACGTCAAACGAACGAACTAACGAATGAATGAATGAATTTATCTAACAAATAAGTATAATAAGATTATCAGATGAAAATGTTACCTTTCATGAATTACAAGATCCCCATCAGCAAAAACGGGAACTGTGTGGAGAGGGTTCATCTGAAACAGACAAGATAATTTAAATTGATACCTACCAGAAACAGAAAAAAAAGCTGATAATATTACATAACCAATCGACTGATAAAAATGATGTCATAGATATGATTTAACCTTATCGCCCGTGATTAGACACGTTAAAAGATAAATAAAACAATTTGTATATCTCTTATTTAAAATTTACATAAATACATTTTTAAGTTATTTTATGATTTAAAGTAGGCCGATCATAACACCCGCTTGCTAATTTCACAGATAACATAGTTGTGTACTAGCTAATTGATAGGTTACTAAGGCTGAGTTGCACCACCTAACTTTGACCGTAACTATAACGATAACCGGTGATTTTTGTATGGAGTTTGACAGATTTTTGACGTTTGTCAAAGTTAAAATAATTTGGTGCAACCCAGCCTAAGACAATTATCTTATCTATTTATAGCGTATGACATATTTGTAGTACCTATGTAATGTATGATGTAATGTACCAATTTACTCGTCATCATCATCATCTCAGCCATAGGACGTCCACTGCTGAACATAGGCGGCCTCCCCCAATGCTTTCCTTGATGCCCGGTTGGTAGCAGCCGGGCCTGCGTACAGCGCCTACTACCTTTATGATGCCGTCGGTCCATCTTGTGGGTGGACGTCCCACGTTGCGTTTTCCGGTACTTTACTCTTGTCTTATTATTACGTGTACAAAAAGGAGTATTTACCTTCAAATACTCCGGTGTGCGATTCTCTCCCTTAATCAATTCTACGTTGACCATCTCCACCGGTACTTTGAAAATTTCACACGCCATCATAACTGCGCGGGCTGGTGGGCTTGCATTCAGTTTGTATAACTTGGCCGGCATCTAAAAATATTTGTATTAGTCGAGTATAGATAAAAATAACGTTTCCCAGGCACGGAAGAGTCTTCCAGCAGCTTGGTCCACGGGCCAAGTCATCGGATTGAATTTTTAAAAATATTATTTCTTCCGAAAACTGGGCCACTAAGATTCTAGAGTAGATTTTTGTTAATTTGGTGTTTCATTTATTAATAAAATCATTGAAGGTGGGCCAAGTTTCCGGAAGAAAAAATACTTAAAAATTCAATCCGGCGAAGCACAAGTTAAAAGTGCGCCAAGTCGGACGCAGCACATCAACCTCAATGGCATCTTATCTCGTTGTCATACAGGCTATTTTGCAACAAAAATGTATGTATTGTATGTGTTGTCGACTGTACACAAGGATGTTTATCATTATTTCTTTATTTGAAACCAGAAACAATTTTACACAATCATACGTGACCTTGTATGGCAGTTGTTAATTTTGATTTGGATTTCCCTGCTACAGAGAAGCAATAATTGTCTAATATATGCCAGATTTATACTAAAACCCAAATCACTGATATGTCACTGTAATTTTCGAAATAATTATTGATTTCTTCTATACTCAAAGATAACCAAGCGAAACAAGAAAAACAATGACTTACAGAATGTATTTGTACACATCAAATCATTTAGCCCGTAGAAGGCCACATATATAGACCTTTTAAAATATTATGTAATTTAAAAAATGATCACATTACTTACCTTTAGCTCTTTCGTTCGGCAAGGTTTAAAACAATTTAAAAAATAGATCAATGAAACTTCTAGAATGCCGGGAGTATGAACAAATTAATAGTCAAGACGTACTTCTCACATTACAGTAATCTGTCAACTGACCGTACAGCGTGAGTTCATCGCTCACAAGGTCAAGTTATCCGATGATAAAATACTAGCTATCATAATAAATGTAAATAAAGTAGGCTCAGTCTTTACGCGTCTATGTCAAGATTTGTAAAAATGTAAATAAATTAATACAAATATTATTTTATTTATTAAGATTAATTGACAAATGCTTTGATTTAAAAGGGAAATATTGAAAATAAACTCTAACTTCTATAGTTCAGAAAAAAATTAAACGTGTAGTTACGTAGTTTTTCAGACCAGTGCAGTGGTTCTATTATTCCATAGTATGAAATGATTTTGATTATTTTTTTGTTTGGTTATAAGTAGATATATTAGTTTTTCATGCCTCTCTCTTAATTAATTCCAGTAAGTCTACTGCATCGGCTTTCGTTGTGATGCTTAATGCAGTAGGTATAACAATAGAGACCAACAATCAACATGATGACAAAGGCTTATTATAATTAGAGATAATTAATAGACTATACACGATATAAGTCGAAGACTGTAATTCTATGGAATGAGATCTAGAATTACAATAAAATAATTATGTCTCTTTTATAAAGAGGTAATTACAATAAGATCACCTATATTTTTTTAAATAATTATCTGTAAACAGCAGTTAAATGAGATGTATATTATTATCTTCGCATTGAAAACATGATATTATCATTTTAGTCAGAATTACAACATTGATTATGTTATCTTATTATATAACAAAAGGTAGGTGTTTTATGTAAAATGTACTTAAAACGGGTGCCCTCTTAGACGCATAACATTTTTCATCATAATTTAGTTTGGTATAACAGTATTTGCATAAAGTTTTTTCGCATAAACTTTGATATGCATAGTTTTCTAAATGCATAATGGTTTCTTAGGCATAATAATAACTTTCTCTAATTTTCAATACCATAATTTAAATAATCATAAATGTAAAGAACATAATTTTTATATACATAAAGTTTGTTTTTAATAAAATACTATAAACATAATTTAATTATTTATAACATTTAAAGTCATAAATATTGTCTATAAGAGCAACCAACATTGAAGAGTAAATAATTATGTATTTGTGATGTTGCGAACGGTCCTCCTTCCACCTTTATACTCTTTCGGCCTGTAGATTTGCAAAAACTAAATTCTCTGTATCATTGTCATTTTCGTTCTTAATTTTTGACCTGTCTCTTAGAAAACTTAAGCTCGTGAAAATACATTCTGTTTGATCTCGAATCCCTCTTATCTATTATAACGCACATATTATACAGTCCACATTTCTTTTACAACATTAAGCTTGCCTGGTCTGAAATTATGTTGATCCCGACTGGCCGTGGTCTCTTCCACGTGGTACTAGTCTGCCCTATACTAGAGTGTAATTTAAAAGCCGGAGGCGCGGAGGGAGTGCGGTCCTCGCTCGCTGTAACATATATCCGGCAGCCGTGCGAGCTGGAGCGGCTGAGGCTGGTCGCCGAAGGCGACCAGCAAGCCGAAGCTGCGGAAGCGAGCATGGCATGCCGGGTATATGTTACGCCAGAGCGGAAGGACCGCACTTCCCGCAGCGCCGGAGATAAGGCAATCCTAATGCTTGCTTGCATGCTTGCTTGCTTGCATGCATGCTTCCTTGCTGCTTGCTTGCATGCTTGCTTGCTGCTTGCTTGCATGCTTGCGTGCTTGCTGCTTGATTACATGCTTGCTGCTTGCTTGCATGCTTGCTTGCTGCTTGCTTGCTGCTTGCTTGCAGGCTTGCTTGTTTGCATCCTTGCTTGCATGCATGCTTACATGCTTCCTTGTAGCTTGCTTGCATGCTAGCTGTTTGATTGCATGCTTGCTGCTTGCTTGCATGCTTGTTTGCATGCTTGCTTGTCTATTTATATTTGTTAACTTATAACATTTTTATATTTCATATTTGTTAAAATTATGGTATTTTGTATATTATGAATGGTAATATTTATGGCATTGGTTTAGATGCCAATAAATGTTATGCCTAGAAATCGTTATTATAAAAACAAGAATACAAAAAAAATATATACTAAAATATTATTATAATAAAAGTGGTTATGGCAAAAAAAATATGCCTTATGATTTATTCTGTATGAACGTTATGCGAAATGATGAGTATGCCAAAAAACTTTATGCACTCTTAAATTATGACAATATTTTTTATGCAACCGAATATGGACCCCTTACAACGTATTTAAACAAATAACAACTTCGGCGTTCTTAATCTAGATGTCATCATCAACTCAATACCAAAGTCAATATTGCAAGAATCTTAACAGCTTTAAAGTAAACATAAGCCGTAAACACTCGACTTAACACAGTAAATAGTACGTGATAAACCCGAAAGGAAACAAACAGACACACATAATTCTAGTGTTAATCCAACTCGCTTTAAAGCTCATCTGCACACTCCGTTTTGCAGCAGAAAGTGTTATAAACTATGATAGCTTCGCTCGCACGCAGCGCACAATGCCCGAAGTTGGCCGTCGACGCAATCTCGGCACATGCCGCGTGACCGTCGCGATGGAATCCTTCAGCCGGCTCTGAGATGGAATTGTGTAAAGCAATCGTTATCATTTGACAGTTCATAACGTACGATTATTCTGTCAAACGCTTTGTTTAACTGACTTTATCGTACGTTATGAACTGTCAAATGATTACGATTGCTTTACACAATTCCACCTCAGGAATTGACTTTGTTTGGGCCATGCAATTTGCTGTGCTTGATTGCTACTTCTATTGTTATTATAACTACGTTTTGATCTAGATATTGTGTTTTTCTAATGTCTTATTTTACTTTTAACAATGGCTTACCTACCCAAATATGGAATATCAAAAGAAAAATCAAAACTGCACACTATAGATTTATGATTATCACATACACGTGGTGATCTAAATGACCACGGACATACAATTCCATGGTAATACAACTCGCTCTAAAAGTTCAATAAAATTCACTACACACTTTGATAGCTTCGCTCGCACGCAGCGCACAATGCTCGAAGTTGGCCGTCGACGCAATCTCGGCACATGCCGCGTGACCGTCGCGACGGAATCCTTCAGCCGGCTCTGGAATTGGCTTTGTTTGGGCCACGCAATTTGCTGTGCTTGATTGCTACTTCTATTGTTTATATTAATTAGTACTACGTTTTGATCTAGATATTGTGTTTTTCTAATGTTTTATTTTACTTCGTTTTGGTTAACTTGGACACACTAGTAGAGTATTAGTAGTCGAGTAGCATACAGCAGTGGTGTTTAGCTACTGAATATAACAATAAAAATACACTTTTTAGACACCCTGCAGCTGCGGATCTTCACCTTTCTGATTCGATCACTTTAAACTCCGAGCATGGCACACTCCATCGCTTTTGGGGTGACCTTGCGCCTTTTTATGAGGCCCATAGTAAGCAACCACGTCTCAGATCCGTATGTCATCACTGGCAAAACACACTCGCTGAAGACTACCTTGATTGCTATTAAGTGGGTTAGTATTGGGTCATAATAACAAAACCCATGTCTTTACCATCATCAAACCTATATTTAAATATTGCGTGTTTTTATGACATTGTTGTTATGACCACATACGTCAACTGTCAAGTATTCAACTCAGTTACACGTCAGAGGTAAAAAAAATATTCGAGTCATGCTGACTCAGAACATCACTTCGAGGCCCACTTCAATGAAATCTCGAGTGCAATGGCGGTCAACTGTTTGCAGGACACGTTTTTATTACAACCTCTGTTTGAATTGTTTGATATCTTTATGAAAATCTTAATTGTGGCTTAACAAAAAAAAATGTATTAGAATACTTACCTTGTTAACATAACATAAAAAACCATTTTTACAGTTCGGACACATTGGTGGGGCATTTCATATTACATTAGTTTTTAGTTAGTTTAGTTTTTGGTTTTTGATTCTGTTTAGTTTTGTGTTAATATTGTTTTATTTTTTTGTTTTTTTTTTCTCTCTCTTTTTTGTGATCACCGTCCATAACGCCCCCTGTTGCGCGCCTTCTTGACTGGTAGCCTCAATAATATGGTCCCGGTCAAGAGGGCGCGCAATCCGCAATCTTCATCGTGTTGGTTCCCGCTGAAAACCAGCTTCTCGACATGGCGCTTGTTATGTCGCGAATATAGCTGAGCGGACGCCTCTTCAGCATAGCTTGTAGTTTAATGTTTAATGTTATATGTACTGTATTTTTATTTTATTTTTCTATGCTGAATAAAGTATTCTTATTCTTACATTTACACTTTTTGGATTTGCTTAAAAAATTATGGAGATTGAAACAATTAAAACAAATGAAAAAAAGTAAAATATACTCAACGTCAAATAAATCGCACCTTCCGCGACGCAAACTTTAAAGATTTTCTTCTGACACAATCATGGTGCCCCAACAATATTGGTGTTATTTGAAAGCCCAATAAATATCCTTAAAGAAAAACACATTTAATTTCTTAATAAATGATTTACATATACCATAAATGTGACTTGAAAAATGACCTCACTTTGGGCTCACCTGTGGTATCAGTTAGACCATTTTTTATGGTTATAAAACCAAATAATGACCTCACGTGTCCTCTTTAACAGATGGATAGCGATAAATCCCAACTTAACAATTTTATAGCCATAAAAGTTGGCTCAAGCGTAATTACCTATTTTTTGGAGAAGTGACTCTGGATCCTTTTAAAGACACATTTTTGGGGTAAAAACCTTTCCTTTAATGAAATTAAGCTTAGAACTAGGCTTTCAAATGGTACCAATGTTGGTGGGAAGTGAGGATGCATACTTTGAAAAGTGCTTGTTGTGGGAGATGCGATTTATTTGATGCCGAGTGTATTTTATTAGTTCTGTCATGTAATTAGTTAGCGTTCGTTGTTAGGGATGCGTATTACTTGGAATTAACAGCAGAATGAATAAAAGTACCAATCATTTTTAGACCCTCTGCATTATGTTTAACAGCGTAAGGTTGTTTTTCCATTTCTTTTAGCCAAGCTGATAGTTTGGAGTACCTGAAAAATAAAGGCCAATATAAGAAAAACTGCCAGGATCGATATACTTGTGACTTGAATACTTATAGTAAACAAAAGTTTGTTGTGACTGGTAATATTTTGGCTCTACGTTAAATCAAGTAGAAAATTAAATGGTTCTGTTTTGCCGAATATGTAAGATTGGTTTTTGTTTTTCGTATTTAGGTTAGTAAATATTATTATTTTCAAGATGAATGTTTGATTCCTGGTTCGATCTAAATGTTGAATTCCTGAATTTAATAATAGCCTTAGAGACTTAATCATTTTTTTTTTCTATTTTGTTTAGATCCGATTGTGTTCAATTCAACTTCAAAGTTAGTAGAGTCAGCGTCAAATAGTTCGTGAGACCCAAAATAACCAAAAAGTTCGCAACACGTCTTTGTTTCAATTGAAATAAGATTGTGTTGTCAACGTTTTGACCACTTTGGGTGTCAAGAACTACTCGTATTTGACGCTGACTGTACTTTAGTTCACTTCACATGTATTCCGTTGCAAACAAATAATTCTTTGCTAAAGAAATAACGCCCGTATTCACAAACGATGCTTGCGTGAAGCAGCAAATCGAACGCACAGCGTTGAATAGACTCTGTGATTGGTTGGTGTGTCAACCTGTGCGTCCACGGCACGCACACTTTGAGACCTCATAGTACCTAATGTTTGTGAATACGGGCGTAAGAATCGGTAAGTATACTCACTTAGCGTTTAAAGGAAGTATGTAATCAAACACAGAAACTGTTGCGTAAGCGGCCACATCGGCAATAGTTATGTGGTCCAAAGCTATGTACTTCTGTCGGGACAATATTTCTTCCAAGAATTCATAGCATTCTTCCAAATCCTTAAGCTGCTGCTCCGTCACTCCTTTTTGACCGAGCATAAATGCTGGGTACTGAAAAAAATATTTTACAATTAAAATTTAAGACATAATATTAGATTTAAAAATTAGTAAAGGTTGTTTATAATATTGGTATACAGTCATTGGTAAAATGAATTTGAAAACTCCAGCAAAATTCCTTGACTGTAGTAGGCCTAGGATGCACGTCACGATAAACTTTTAAGGCATTTTACCCACTGAAAGCGATAAGCCCATATATGTGCCGTCTAAAATCATCGATAATATTTTATGACGGCACGCATTTTATCCCGTCAGGTATATCCACATCAACCTAAACACTGTAGCATCTTATGTAGTTGTCATAAAATATATGCATCAAAATATAGTCTGATAAGCTACAAAAAATCGACTTACTGCAATGTTGCGCGTCCTTGTAAACAAAACACCATCATTGAAGAACAGTTTTTGGTTGATGAGTGCTCTTTGCTTGACATCTTTTGGATAAAAAGAAGAATCCTTGCCATATACTTCTGCCAGGTAGATCAATATGGCGTGGCTGAAATTAAAGAAAACTTTTAAAGTCGAACCAAGCAAGTAACCTGTTTAAAGGTTTCAGATGTCTGTTAAAGTTGTTTGATTACACCGGTATTCTTTCAGACATCTTTATGCGAGACGATAGCTGTTCTTAATAAATTTTCTAATGCTCTACATCCAAGAATAAAGGCTACAGGTTGCCTGTTACTTATGTAGGTACCTGATGACTCCATCCAGAATTCAGAACGGTAAAAATAAAGTAGTAGTAATTTATCGACCGACGATCTGGTAAAGGTCGCGGGAAGAGCCTTGATGCGGATGACGCAGGACCGTTCTTTGTGGAAAACCTTGTGGGAGGCCTTTGTCCAGCAGTGGACGTCAAACGAACGAATGAATTTATCTAACAAATAAGTATAATTAGATTATCAGATAATAATGTTACCTTTCATGAATTACAAGATCCCCATCAGCAAACACGGGAACTGTGTGGAGAGGGTTCATCTGAAACAGAAAAGATAATTTAAATTGATACCTACCAGAAACAGAAAAAAGCTGATAATATTACATAACCAATCGACTGATAAAAATGATGGCATAGATATGATTTGACCTTATCAGTCCGTGATTAGACACGTTAAAAGATAATAAAACAATTGACAGTTGTATCTCTTATTTAAAGTTAATTTAATAACATAAATAATTACGTTATTTAATTTTTATGATTTAAAGTAGGCCGATTACAACAACGGCTTGATACAGATAATAATATAATACTAGCTAATTGATAGGTTAGTAACAATTATGATCTATTATAGCGTATGACAGCATTGTTGTAACACCCATGTAATTTAATTGTACCTACTACTATTTATGATGTACCAATTTACTCTTCGTCATCATCATCTCAGCCGTAGGACATCCACTGCTGAACATAGGACGCCTTCCCCAATGCTTTCCATGTTGCCCGCTTGGTAGCGGCCTGCATCCAGCGCCTTTCTGCTACCTTTACGATGTGATTTGGACGTCCCACGCTGCACAAAAAGGAGTATTTACCTTTAAATACTCCGGTGTGCGATTCTCTCCCTTCATCAAATCTACATTGACCATCTCCACCGGTACTTTAAAAAGTTCGCACGCCATCATAGCAGCGCGGGCTGGTGGGCTTGCATTCAGCTTGTATAACTTGGCCGGCATCTAAAAAAAATTTTTTTAGTCTAGCATGAATTAAAATAATGTTTCCCAGGTACGGACTAGTCTTCCAGCAGCTTGGTCCACGGGCCAAGTCAATGGATTGAATTTTTAAAAATATTATTTCTTCCGAAAACTGGGCCCACTAAGATTCTAGAGTATATTTTTGTTAATTTGGTGTTTAAATTATTAATAAAAACATTGAAGGTGGGCCAAGTTTCCGGAAGAAAAAATACTTAAAATTCAATCCGGCGAAGCATTATGCTGTCGACTGTAAACAAGGATCTTTATCTTTATTTCTTTATTTGAAACCAGAAACAATTTTACACAATCATACGTGACCTTGTATGGCAGTTGTTAATTTTGATTTGGATTTTCCTGCTACAGAGAAGCAATAATTGTCTAATATATGCCAGATTTATACTAAAACCCAAATCACTGTTATGTCACTGTAATTTTCGAAATAATTATTGATTTCTTCTATACTCAAAGATAACCAAGCGAAACAAGAAAAACAATGACTCACAGAATGTATTTGTACACATCAAATCATTTAGCCCGTAGAAGGCCACATATAGACATTAAAATATTATGTAATTTAAAAAATTATCACATTACTTACCTTTAGCTCTTTCGTTCGGCAAGGTTTAAAACAATTTAAAAAATAGATGAATAAAACTTCTAGAATGCCGGGAGTATGAACAAATTAATAGTCAAGACGTACTTCTCACGCTATAGTAATCTGTCAACTGACCGTACAGCGTGAGTTCACCGCTCACAAGGTCCAGTTATCCGATGATAAAATACTAGCTATCATATAATAAATGTAAATAAAGTAGGCTCAGTCTTTACGCGTCTGTCAAGATTTGTAAAAATGTAAATAAATTAATACGAATATTACTTTATGTATTAAGATAAATTGACAAATGCTTTGATTTAAAAGGGAAATATTGAAAATAAACTGTAACTTCTATAGTTCAGAAAAAAATTAAAAGTGTAGTTACGTAGTTTTTCAGACTAGTGCAGTGGTTCTATTATTCCATAGTATGAAATGATTTTGATTATTTTTTTGTTTGGTCACAACTAGATATTAGTTTTTCATGCCTCTCTCTTAATTAATTCCAGTAAGTCTACTGCATCGGTTTTCGTTGAGATGCTTAATGCAGTAGGTATAACAATAGAGACCCACATGATGACAAAGGCTTATTATAATTAATAGAGATAATTAATAGACTATACACGATATAAGTCGAAGACTGTCATTCTATGGACTGAGATCTAGAATTACAATAAAATAATTGTCTCTTTTATAAAGAGGTAATTACAATAAGATCACTTATATTTTTTTAATAATTATCTGTAAACAGCAGTTAAATGAGATATATATTATTATCTTCGCATTGAAAACATGATATCATTTTAGTCAGAATTATAACATTGATCATGTTATCTTTTGATATAACAAAAGGTAGGTGTTTTACGTAAAGCTACTTACAACGTATTTAAACAAATAACAACTTCGGCGTTCTTAATCTAGATGTTATCATCAACTCAATACCAAAGTCAATATTGCAAGAATCTTAACAGCTTTAAAGTAAACATAAGCCGTAAACACTCGACTTAACACAGTAAATAATACGTGATAAACCCGAAAGGAAACAAACAGACACACATAATTCTAGTGTTAATCCAACTCGCTTCAAAGTTCATCTGCACACTCCGTTTTGCAGCAGACAGTGTTATAAACTTTGATAGCTTCGCTCGCACGCAGCGCACAATGCCCGAAGTTGGCCGTCGACGCAATCTCGGCACATGCCGCGTGACCGTCGCGATGGAATCCTTCAGCGGGCTCTGGAATTGGCTTTGTTTGGGCCATGTAATTTGCTGTGGTTGATTGCGAATTATATTGTTCTTATAGGAGTACTACGTTATGATCTAGATGTGTTTTTATGAAGTCTTATTTTACTTGCAACAATGGCTTACCCAAATATGGAATATCAAAAGACAAATCAAAGCTATAGATTCTTGATGATCACATACACGTGGTGATTTAAATGACCACGGACACACAATTCCAACTCGCTCTAAAGTTCAATAAAATTCACTACACACTTTGATAGCTTCGCTCGCACGCAGCTCACAATGCCCGAAGTTGGACGTCGACGCAATCTCGGCACATGCCGCGTGACCGTCGCGATGGAATCCTTCAGCCGGCTCTGGAATTGGCTTTGTTTGGGCCATGCAATTTGCTGTGGTTGATTGCTACTTCTATTGTTCTTATAGGAATACTTCTACTAGGTTATGATCTAGATGACTGTGTTTTTCTAATGTCTTATTTCACTTAAAACAATGAAAAATTCATCTACGAGTAAACCGCGCGTACTCTACATTGAATCTTAACACACAAGTTTTAAAGTACACTTCGGTGCCTATACAGTGCACAAGCACAATGCCTGAAGTTGAATGATTGACATGACCACGTCATGACCTTTGTGATGGAATTCCTGTAGCAGTCTCCCGAATTACCTTTGTTCTTAATAAGTACGATTGAGTTTGGTTTTACGGGGAAATGGTCCTTATATGGACAGGACGCCCACTATCGATGTATTTCCTTCTATATTTTGGAGTTCAGTATTTTTTCGAGAGTGACCTTTAGAAGAATAAACCGAAGTTGTGCAAGTTTTATTAGGTACACATTGTGCAAAGATGGAGGCCTAAGGATCGCTGATCAAAAGTAAATGGAAGGAGGGTTGTTTGCACATTCGTTTCAATTAGTTACAAGCAAACTTAAAAATAAGTTAAGTACTTTTAAAGCCTCTTTGCGAATCCCTCTTAATTGCGTAAACAAACTATGTATCTACACCCATTTTTTCTTAAACGAATTCAGAAACAGTAATAAAATTGTTTACGTTAACATTTTGAACAAAACTGAAAAAAATAATGTTTGCCATGAAAATAAAAAATAATAGAAACAAATTACGGAGGGGATTTATAAGTTATAACACCAGTTTTTCCAATCAACCTAAACGTGGCATCAAAACGTTAAGATTTCTACTGAACAGTAAATCGGAAAACTGCCATGGAAAAGAGGAAAATCTCCGGAAAATCGTACAGTAAGCCTATCCAGGACGAGTGTTTATCCACGTCCGAGCGTGTTGTTGGAAAACTTCCCAAGACAAATAGAATATAAAGCAGAAACTCGCGTGTGCGCAGCCTATCAATCATCGGGATGATGTATTTGCGCTGGCCCGGTGTATTCAAATAATTCACTGGATCTTTATTTAGATATTTTATGGAACGATTGCTAGGAACTAACATTGAACTTGAAATAATTCTTAGGGAATTTATTACGAAATGAAACTCCAGTTAAGTTTTCGATTCTACCTCAGCGACCATCAGCTCTCGGAAATATATGCCTGGTGCCACTGCCACTTGATTTTAGTAATTCTGCGAGCTGTCGGTCACTTTGGTTTTCCACCACTGTTTGGTTTTGCGACCACGGGCCGGAAGACGTGACGGGACGTGGGCAGGCCTCCCACTAGGTGGACCGATGATCTAGTGAAGGTCGCGGTACCTAGATGCGGGCAACGCAGGACCAATCATTATGGAAATCCTTGGTGTAGGCTTTTGTCCAGCAGTGAACGTCATTTTACTGAAACGAACTTTTATGCACAGAACAAATTAAAGACAAACTTAATGGCATCCAGCCAATATTTGGGCTAATATTTTGCATTGCAGTTAAGTCATAAACTATTTATTATTATGCAAGTGAGTCAATTGCCTATTCTCACTAAAACTCTTTACAGCTTAACCTTTAATTGAAACCAACAGGTGAAATTTGGATAATCCCAGGGGAAATTAGAATACAGCGGTTCGGGACTGCCATCGAAATTAATCACAAACAAATAACTTAAGTTCGAAGTTACGACTTCTTGTTAAAAGAGGAAGACAAGTGAAGATTTATTACAATTATAGTATGATAGAAAAAACTATTACCGATCAATCACTGTGCTATGTTTTTCAAACAAAAAGTACCTACATAGTACCAACTAGTTAGGTACTTTTTAATGGAACCATCACGTAGCGTTGAAGAACACAAAAATGTAGCCATGAAAACTCTAAAATACGATTCAACCTTAAAATGATTTTATAACATTGATTTATTAATAATTTAGTAGATAAATAGGTAAATAGTGACGTGCTTACATTTTTTATTTGTGAAAAATATCCTACTTATAAAATATTATAACTGCGAAAGTTTGTGTGGAAGTTTGTTACTCTTTCACGCAAAAACTACTGGACGGATTTTGATGAAACTTTACAGTTTTATTTTTTATAACCCAGAATAACATATATGCTATAATTTATGACGGTCTGTGACAAACTAAATTTCACGTGGGCAAAAGCCAGTACAATAATAATTGTTAGTACCTACCGAATCGCCTATCTTTAAATTAAATTAAAGATATTAACTGCCAACCTGTCATCGAATATCTCACACTAATCAGCCTTAATCCGAGTTCTGAAAACCCGCATGATTCGTAACTTTTAATTATCTGATAGCAATAGGTCAAACGTTTTATTCTACCGCAGTTACCATGCCCTCGTAAGGTAGTTTGTTTAATTGACATTTAATTTTGTGATTAGCTAGTATTATAAAACATATTTTTTACGGTGAGAAGAAACAACATTTTTTTTTAACCTCGGGAAATGCTTTGCGCATACCCACTTGTCTATGGGGACCGCCATGTGGGCTATGTGAGACACTCACTAAAGGCGCGGCCTACCCACTAAAACCCGCGGTGTCCACCGGAGCCCGAAAAAGAAACAACCTATATTGTGAAGATTTGAGTTGGATATTATATCATAGTCCAACTAAAATAGTAAAACACGGGTCCTAACGCGACGTTTATTAATGAGTTACATTATGTACTAACGGCTTGACGTTTTGGCTACTATGTATAGTACTTACGGCTACTATGTAAATCTTATATTAAATCATAGTCCATAAATAAATTATCTGTAATATCCAAATACCCACTAGATATACCTACTTAGGGGAGGATATTTCCCTATCATGGTATAATTCAAGGGCTATTATTATACAGCCGATAAATCTTGCAAAGTGTGCCATTTTGGGTAAAATATGGAATCCCTATCATAACGTTAGTTAACTGTTAGAGAATGGTTTAAAGCAGTCTTTCCCAAAGTGGGCGATAACGCCCCCTTGTGCAGACTTAAAGGGGGGCGGTAAGAGATCCCGGAAAAAAATTGGGGCATTGTGTAGAGGCTTGGTAGGCCATTTGTAATTTCATCTACTTAGGAGGTCTCTTAGACACCGACTGAGCATTTGACTCTTGAAAATTTAATGGGGGCGCTAAAGAGAATTTATTCCCAAAGTGGGCAGTAGACAAAATAAGTTTGGGAACGGGTGGTTTAAAGCGTCAGAATTACTTTGTTGTAGGAATAAAATTTAAATAAGTATGTTTTCAATCGAACGAATATTCTTTATGGTGTAGATTTTATTTATTTATTTATTTATAATTCAATGCCAAAAATATTAACATTAGGCGATTATATTATATTAATTTTAGTTGAGCACAATTAATTATGTCGGTTCAGTAGATAGGTATTACTAGTCTGAGTTAGTTTCAACGATTCCTTATAAAGTTTCAAGGAGTTAAACATCTCACTTTTGTTATGTTAGATAACTCTCTGCTAGCATTATATCTTGAAACTTACAATATTGTTTCAAAAACACTTACTTATCTACTTCTAATATTAATACTTAT